TCGTTAACATTGCCTGATCTTTTTTGGTATAGATTTGATGATCAAAATGTAATATAATGCAATTTTTATTAAGTAATTGCTTTAAATTAAATGTTGTAATAATTACTGCATCAATTCATTGACAACAATCAAAAATGTTTAAACGGACAAACTCAGAATTAGATAGTATAGATAGATAGTAGATTTTAGAAATGGTAGATTTTAGAAATGGAAGTAGTATGCTGTTTAACAGTATATGCAATTAGATAGTATTCATTTAGACGGTATCAACTGTGAAAATTCTGTCCGGTCTGACTCAACCTCCAAAACCTAGTCTTTATCAGAAGTTATAATGTCCACACCTTTTATTCTGTTATATTTAAATATACCAAATGCATATGCAGACGTGGATTGAGACCAAAGTTTCTACAATCCGAACTTTGACAATGACTTGAATTCTGGAGTCGAGTCGGACTGGACTGGCTTTTCACATTCCCATGTGCAATATCATGCAGAAAATCGTATCTATCATAAAAATTTATCTTGCATAAGTGATGACTACCATTTCTTATGTAATATGTATAGTAGGACATTATTAGCATGTATATGCATGTAATAGACCCCAACTATTAAAATTGACCAATGTCATTATTTAACTAGAATTTATATACTGTCGGCCCTCCCAAAACCGATACAGAACCCGTCCACTATGCATACCGGTTTTGAGAGGGAATTTTTATATAAGGTGCTAGAAAATTTGTCTTCACACTTTGTCGTTTCCATAGTTTAATAAATTTCGGGGTTTTTTTTTATAATTTAACGATATGAATAGCCAAGCTTTTATTCTTTTAATTATTCTCTTTTCAAGTTTACTTGCATTAACTATTACTGTTGATGCTCGTATTAATAATAAACCTTCTCGTTTTAATAAACATATTAATGCTAAACCTGCTCATTTTAATCAACATGCTAATGATAAACAAAGAATCTGCACATTAACTGAAATTAGCACTAATACGATAACCATTACTAAGTCTTGTGAATCTGTTCCAACACCAATTCCTACAAGCTACGATAAAAATTATGATCATTGTGATGGTTGTAAAACAAAAAAAACTATCACAGTTACACCTACAACTACTGAATGCGCTACACCAACTCCGTCATGTTGTCAATCACGTGGTAGTCCAGGGTGGAATGACTTATTGAATACTGGTGATGGTAATGGTTTGTCAGCATATTTAAACACCACTTCTACTCCGCAAGAGTGTTGTATGATTTGTATCGCTGATAAAACTTGTGTTAGTTGGTCATGGTCGAAGGTGGATATTACCAGAAATTGTTTTATTACGGGTAATGGAACTGGTAATGCTTGTGTTGGAGCGACAGTGTCACCAAGCTCTCTTGGTTCTGAAGGTGGAACTGTTCGTTGTAGTAATGGCAGTAATTGTAGTTAGGTTAATTAAAAATTCATAAATATGTATTATTTTATTAAGTAAGAATTGTGTTCTTGTCCCTTTTTATATTCTAAAAACATCTTAATGTTTTTAATTAAAATTAAAATTTATCTCGTATTAGATTTATATATCTAATTCTTGTTAAAAAAATCTGTTCTTTAATAAATTTTAATTTATTATCGTTGTCTAAGCCTTTAAAAATTAATCTCGTATATACTGTATATTTTATAATGGTGCTCATAATCTAATCCTAACCAAATCACCAAAAATTATATATGTTCGTTACAATAACTTAATGCTAACTACATTAGGACCGATCAGTCTTTTAGTCCGTCCTAAAAAAGACCAGACGGACCGCAGGACCGGTGGCTTTAGTCGGACCGATTAACAGCCCTAACCTTAACACCGCAAATGAGTATAATTACCAATAAATTACTTATTTAGGTCCATAAGGTAGTTACTAATAATATTCGCCATTTCTGCATTTTTAGATGATTCGATTTTAAAAAAGACAGGTGTTGTGACAACAGATTATTGTGTTAACGAACGATCAGTGCGTAACGTTAACATTAAAAAAACAAATCGTTTATTTAAAAATCGTCTATATTTCGAAATTTTGCATATGAAACTATCTTTTACGTTATAACAAAAAAAATTCCTTGCAAAATTTTGGTAGTTATTTTTCTAAATCCTATCCTTACCCTAACGCTATTTTTGACTCTACCCTAATTTTAATTAACGTTAATCAACAACAATGATCATCATCTTTGGGTACATAGATGCACTCGGTTAGACTGTATATGTAGGCGATCATTACAGCAAATTTTAGACAAGATTTATTATTTATTGTCGCGGCTGATACTGAAATTGGCTGATGCTGAAATTTGAACCTATTTTGATACGAAATTTTAAACAAATTTTGGAGTGTTTTTTTACCGCTTTTTTTTTATAGTTAGGTTAGGATTTGGGTTAGAATTTATAATTAAAGAGTATATGTGGATTCTAGCAAGGCATATATTTTAAAATTGGAACCCCAAATTTCAGCATCAGCCAATTTCAGCATCAGCCGCGACATTTATTTTTTAAGATTGAACTCCCTAAAAAAACTATTGGCACTTCGATCTATAATATCCCATACGTCAAACCCATTTTACCCATGTTAAATTTCTGTACAATTAAATTTATCGTTACGTATATATACGAACGTATCATAATAACATTACATATATGGCTCAGTACACGGTAAAACAGGACTTGAGACGAATTTTTTTATTTGTTGATATCAGTATTTAATCAATTACAATTTTAAGTATAAAATAAAGACAAAAAATACTGCATAAAAAATTGTACAAAATTTTATTATACTAATGCGGTCTAAAAAATTTGCTGTGATTAAATCACGTTTATAAATATGATCCGGTAAAATCTCAACTTTTATCATTATTATTGCTCGTCATGTGCCCTCCTCGCACATGACAGTCGTGACCAACCTTTTAATACCTACAGTCACGTCC